TCATCAACCATAGGAGGTATTTATGAAAAGAAACCTCAGAAAACAACAAAATATAGGAGTAACTAACCACTAAACAGAAACTCAGAATCTAATTTTTAGATTTCAGAAATAGAGATGTTCTGTTCAAACTTAATTTTTACACAATTCGTAACTCCGTTTGAAATTCTTAAAAACAGCATTAAACAAAAATAGATTTAGAAGAATTTCATAAAAAGAAATTAAAGAAAATATTTCAGCTCCATTTGGACAAGTGTTTTGAAAATTTGTTTAGAAAAGTTTGTTTGAACCAAAACTTAAAAGTACTTTTTGGAAAATAATGCATTTGGACAAGAATTTTTTAAAACCCTTTTAATAATTAAAAATATTAAAAAGTCATTTGGACTAGGTCTTTTTCAAAATTACTTTTTCTTCAAAATAATTTGTGAACTTATTTTTTTTTAAAAAAATCATTCTTACACAAATTGTGATTTTCAATTTTTTTTCCACTTTTGTTTGTTTTATTATTTGTAATTGTCTTGTTCCAAAATTTTCTTTTTCACACTTTATCTTCCAACATAAATCAAAATTACAGTATAATTTCAAAATCATTCTGACTAAATTAAAGCATAATGATAAAACCATTCTAACTTATCAAATGCATAATAACTATGTCCGACAAAGGTTGATACACCCCATACTGAAGTGCTGCCAAAATGTGGTTTGAATTCTTGGACAAAGCTCCAGCAGGACATTAGTTGCACATTCTTTGTTTTTTGGAGTCCCATCTTTGATCAGATTCACAAGTGTTTCAATGAATGAAAGTTGCCCAAGTTGTTGCCTCCCATCCTGTCTCAATGCAAGAAGCAAAATAATGGACAATATTTCATCAACCATGTCCAAATTTTTGTCCTCAAGTAGGTTGACCAATGGTGGGATGATCCCAACTTCAATTGCCATTGACTTAATAGTGTGGTTCAGGCAGAGATTGAACAATGCAGTGACTACATCTTTTTTCCCGCGAATTGTCCCGCTTTTTAGTAGTAGTATCAATGGTGGGATGCCATTCAACTCCCCTATCTTCACTTTGTTCTCATCCAACATTGATAAGCTAAAAAATGCTGCTCCTGAGTTCTCCTTTGCACCAACAGTTCCATTTTTTACAATGTCATGATAGCCGGGATTGGTTCTTCTTTGGAGATCAGCTTCTTGTTTGATTCATCAATGGACAAGTTCAAGCTTCTTATTGCCCCTAAAGCAATAAGAAGGAAGTCAACCCCATTTCACAAATAGTATAAGCAAGATGGGTCACGTATTGTGTAGAAATGGCAAGCACAATTAATCATAATGAAAAAGAAAGGAAGGGAAATCATATTGAGGACATGAAGTTGATTGAACACTAACAGAAACGGCTAGTTGGATTTTGATAAGAGAAATAGTAAACCCCATTTCTACAGTTGACTAACAGACTGTGTTTACTGCCTCATGAGGATTCAGAATTATTGCACAAAATTATGGTAACTACAACATATACCTTCGACAGTAAGCATACAGTAAACACCTACAACAAGCTCAGGGAAGATCCCGATACAATGAATCTCTAATAGCAGTCTTTGATTTATCGATATCCTATTGTACTGAGCTTCAGTACAATTGGCAGGTCTGATACAAAATCATTTTGTGAGCCATCATAGCCCGGGATAACTGCATCTGTAATGGACAGGTTGTTATCATCTGGAATTGACATCCTAGTATTTTTGTTATCATGCTTGTGGAATTGAGCATCTGAACCTTGGTTGCAACCTAAGACAATGATTTGACAGTGGAACAATTTTAGAAAGAACGCATACATCAGCAGCCATTTTCTTTTACTACTTTTAGCACAAGTGCGAGATCTTGTAATCCAAAAACATTCAGTAGTTTACCCTCTTGGACCAGAAAAAAGATGCTACTGTACATTATTCTTCTTGAATGCTTTTTGGTTGGAGAATAATCAAGGCATTTACTGATGGGATCCAGGTGTATCAAAGAAAACTGGTATCATTCTCAAGCCTATTTGTAGATACTCTTGTATCGTTCTATTTCTTGTTGAACCTTTGATGTCAAAAGAGAATGCCCAAGCGCAGGATGCAAAGAAGTCATCTTTCTTAAGGACATTACTCTTTCAACACAAATTTATGTGCAATCAAGCTTTTCATCCGTTCATCAGTTTGGCAATGAGAATAGGTATCTATTACATACAATCAGCTGTAAGTCACCAACGGTGTATTAACTTCTTCCCGTCTTATTCCCTTCAAATATTCATTCACTTACTAGCATTTTTAACTGAAACTATCTTCTTGTTACTTACTGGGACCTTGCCAACCAGGTCAGACACTACTTTAAACTTGTACATAATTGTAAGGCAAAAGCAAGTAAAAGAAAATTACAATTTCAATAAAGATACAGGGATAGATGATTGCATGTGCAACATTTCAAAAGAACAAGCAGAAATGTCTTGAGACAAATAACCAATGATAGTTTTTGGTGAAAGTGTGGCCATGTTGGCAAATACATTAAGTTTCAGAAAACACAATTAAATGAACTGGCGAAGATGGGGAAAACAGTAACTATCATGTTTCCATTATTTTTACGTTCCAAAGTAAGCAATAACAACATTTAACTAACAAATTCTAGTATTAGGCAACAACAATTGCTATTCATTAATTCAAGTATCAGGCACAATTTAAAGGCAACAGTGAAAGTGTTTAACCTTTGATATTCATTAATTCAAGTATCAGAAAAGATTCCTTAATAAAGTTATTCAGAAAGGTCATAACATCAAATAATTTTAACTGCACTACAAAGTACAAAAAGCCTCATTACTTCTAACCTGAGATGTAAACAAGGTATTTAAGAACTAGAATCGCTGCAATTTGCTCAACGTAGCTATAAGCCTACTTTATTAATAGTAGAAAGTAAACCATGCTTAACAAAAACTTATATCAAGAATTCAGAAAGTGGAGTCTTCATTTTTATTTAGATATAGCAACTTCAGTGGAAAGATATAGAAAAGCCCTGCATATTACACATGTAGAAAACAAAATACAATGTAGTACCTTTAAAGAACCGGACAACCTCACCAGCTATAATGGTTAAGGAGCTTAGACACTGTATGCTTGCTATCTATAAAGCTGAAATCAGTCTCTAGAGAAGGGGCATGGGATGAACAGGTTTTGTCCCTGGAGCTATGTGATCCTGGTTGTGTTCGACACTTGAAGTTTTTGCTAGACTTCCAACTGCATCATTATCAAAATCAACAGCCATCAAATTGACATTCTCGATTCCTAGAGATGTAGGTACAGGTGATACTACAGTTGGTTCAGCATCAATCTGTCGGTCAAATCAAGTAAAATAAAAGAGATCATTAGATAAATACTAAAAGACAAGGAGAGAGAAGTCCTTTAGAATGTAAGAAATACATGTAGAAAACATGCAAATCATTCTGGCATCTCAACAATGACCCTTGTAATCAACTAAAAAATTTAATCAAAGCATGCATAAAAATTCTCAGGTGTTATAAAGTGCGTAGATTGCGAATAAGATGTCAAGGACATAGACACAAATGCTCCAAATAATATTCAATTGGAGCTTCCCGTCACAAGGGATAACCAAATCCAACAGGCAATTTGCGAAAAAGCTCATCATTCATATATGACTGGACAATGGAACACTGTAGTACTGGTCACAAAATATACATAAATCAGTGATACTTCTTCCCAGCAATTATTGGTTCTCAAATTGACAATCAAGGCAATACTAGAGCCAAACACTGGAAAATGGTTCGCATGGTAAATTGAAACAAACCCACTTCAAATATGATTCAATAAATAAAACCCATGAAAAAATTTACACAAATCCTACTGAAGTAACAAGGATTTGAGTGTAAATTCAAGTATTAGAAGTGATTGGAAGCTAAACCTCATCTAATAAAAAAAAAAGAAGAAAAAGACAGGAATAAAAAAAATTACCAGAACAAGGTGTCGCCTCCTACTTCGCCGCCGTCACTGGGGAGGTTTGCCGTCGCTGAAGGAGAGAGAGTGAGAAAGGGCGGCGGATTAGGGCATGGGTAGAAAGTGAGAGAAGAAAATGTAGTTTTACCTTATGTCCATGACCTGTTTTTTTCATAACCCGCCCTTGACCCACATTCAAACCCGTGAACAGAGACAAACAAAGCTGTTTCAAAAAATCGAAAAATATCCCCTACCTATTTTCTAAAAAGTCTGTTTCAAGCCTTCTTTTTTTCAAATTGATCTTTAGAAAAGACTTTAATTAGTTTGTCCAAACGCATTTTAAACTCTAAACAGATTTTTTAGCCTTAAAGGTCTTTTTAAAACTCTTGTCCAAATAGAGCCTTCAAGACTTAGGATAAATAAGCCTGTTAACAGAAGGTCACGAATCTCTCTTCTCTTTTTTTTTTTGAATTTTCAGTGATGGGCATGTCATGTTCAAACGTTTTTGGACAATCTACAAGTCCGTTTAAAAATCCCTAAAAATATCCAAAAACTAAACAAAAAAAAAATTTCATGAAAGAAAACCTTGAAAATCATTAGTGAGCTAAAAGAAAAATTGCATCTCAATAGAGAACAGTGAAACTGGAATTCTGCACTTTGGAATACACTACTCAAGGTACTATGTATCAACCTGAAATTATCATCTTCGCTCCAAGAAGAGGACAAATGGTGCCTTAAACATTCCATCAGGATTGATGATCTTGTACATAGGGATTATCATCTTCGCTCACGCATAAGTATCCATCAACTTGTTTCGTGCCATCCATTTGATCCAGATGTAATATATTTGGATTTGGGATCGAAGATGGGACTGGTATCATGCAATATATTGACCAAAATGTTTAAACAAATTGGTCCATCCCCGACCCCATCCGGGGACGTATTCATCGTGGCGCATCCACTTTGTCCCATCTCCATTCCAATCCATCTCCATAACACTTTGTACACTTCAAAATCCAGAAGGATCCGATCATGCCAGGAAACCTCCCGAGAGATGTCCATGAGAGCGAAGTCGAGGACTTGTTTCATAAGTACAGACCTATTGTGGATATTGATATGAAAATACATCCAATACCACCTTGTTGAACTCTTTTAGAGTTTGTGCACTCTCATGATGCTGATGATGCTATCTGTGGCCGTAATGGGTGTGATTTTGATGGCTATAGGCTAACTGTCAAACTTGCACAAAGTGACCGGGGATCCTCACGTGGAAGAAGTTGTTGCAGGCGTTATAGTGGTGAAGGAAGTGGAGCTCCTAGACACTCCAGCTACTATGTTTTGGTCACAGGGCTACCATCTTCTGCCTCTTTGAAAGAACTAAAGGACCACATGCGATGTGCTGGTGATGTAAGCTTTTCTCAAGTGTTTCAGGATTGCTATGGTGTGAGAGGAATCGTTGACTACTCAAATTATGATGACATGAAAGATGCCATACGGAAGCTTGATAACTCTTTGTTTTGCAATAAGAGTACATGGGATCATTACATAAGAGTGGAGGTGTTTGATCACGGACGAAGCATGTCAAGAAGTCCTAGTTATAATACACGTGATTCGACATGCAAGAGCCCTGGATATTGAAATGGCATTAGGTGTAGATCTTCATCTAGCAAAGCCAAGCATTATCATCGGTCTCTTTCCGAGTTTGATCGATCAAAAGCGCGTTTTGAATTGGCTGTTTGTTATACTTCAAGATCACAAAAAAGGGTGAGAAGCCCTTTCTCCCCTTTGTATTGCAAATACCTGATCCGAAGTCCAAGAACGAGGAGCAGGAGCCATAACAGGAGATTAATGTTGTCCAAATCACTGTCCCGATCTCCTCCCATGAGTTATGCTTGAACCTTCTTGATGGATCCTATGCAGCATAGTTGCATAATGGCACTTCTTGAAAGAATTATATTTCTGTGTGTATTACCGGTTGTACATTGAGATATATATATACAAGGATACATAAAACCCTAGCCGACTATTCCGAAAACCCTAATTTGGTTTCCTTAATTACATACTCTATCATACCCCCGCAATCGTAGCAGGATGAGGAATCATGCCTAGATTGGTTCTAAACAAATAGAATTTATCTTTAGCTAATGACTTGGTGAAGACATCTGCAAGTTGAGATTGTGTGGGGATATGACGAACAACAAGAAAACCAGCAGCAACTCGTTCACGAACAAATGGATATCCAGCTAATTATGCTTTGTTCTGGCATGATTAACAGGATTGGCGGCAAGGTAGGCAGCAGAAATATTATCACACAGAATAACTGAAGATCTGGGAAGCTTGATGTGAAGTTCAGATAAAAGATTTTCTAACCAAACAACTTCAGATAAGGTAGTAGCAACGGCGCGATACTCAGATTCAGCAGAACATCGTGAAACAGTAGATTGCTTTTTAGAAGACCACGAGACCAATGATGAACCTAAAAAGACACAGAACCCAGTGGTAGAACGTCTAGTTGTTGGACACCCAGCCCAATCAGCATCCGAATAAGCCACATGACGATCAAGAGAACCAGCACGGATATGAATACCATAGTGAAGGGTACCCTTAATATTCTGTAGAATGCACTTAACAGCCTGATAATGTTGCTCCTGAGGATCATGCATATGCTAACAGACAAGAATGACAGCATACTGAATGTCCGGTTTAGTGAAAGTAAGGTATTGGAGGGCACCCACCAAACTTCTGTAGAGAGTCGGATTATGAAATGGTGGTGACTCATCAACAGAGAACTGAAAAGCCAGAGCAAGTGGAGTGGTAACAGGATTAGCTTCAGTGAGATGACTGCGAGAAAGTAATTCCTCAGCATACTTGCGTTGATGCAAAAACCAACCATTTGACTGGGGAGAAACCGAGACACCCAAGAAGTAACTGATAGGACCAAGATCAGTCATGGCAAAAGCACCCTTCAGAGACTGAATAAGTCTGGTGAGAAGACGATCACTAGAGGCTGTTAAGAGAATATCACCAACATAGAGGAGGAGAACATCCATGTCAGTGCCAACAGTGTAAACAAACATAGAAGAATCCGAGCGACTGCCTTTAAAACCCTGTGTAAGCAGGAAAGTAGTAAAGCGGTGAAACCAAGCTCGGGGGGCCTGCTTTAAGCCATAAAGAGCTTTGTTCAAGCGACAGACATAGTGAGGATGGTCTGAATGAACAAAGCCAGTAGGCTATTTCATATAGACAACTTCATTTAAATGGCCATGCAAAAATGCATTTTTAACATCCAACTGATGGACGGGCCACTTACGAGATGCAGCAATACTTAAGACAGTCTGATATTATCACTGGTTTAACCACAGGACTGAACGTTTGATCATAATCAAGCCCAGGTTTTTGATTAAAACCCTGAGCAACCAAACGTGCTTTACAACGATCAAGGGATCAATCAGATTTGAGTTTCACACGAAAGATCCATTTAGAATCAATGACATTCGCAGACACAGGTAGTGGGACTAAATCCCATGTATGATTAGACAGAAGGGCGTTGTATTCATCACTCATAGCGGCACGCCATTCAGGGTGTTTATTTCCTTCAGTGAAAGATTTTGGTTCTATGGGAAGAGAAGGAGAATTGGTAGTGGCAGTGAGGGAGAAAATCTGTTTGGATTTTCGTGTGCCATCCCGAGTGCGGGTGACCATAGGATGTGAGGGAGCAACGGAGGATATAGGATCTGAAGGTTGAGTAGGAACGGAAACTTGGGTGGCAGAGATAGAATCTGAAACAGGAGTTTTGCTGGGAGAGGAGATAATCAGTGATGGAAGGCATTTGGGAATGAGAAAGGAAGGATGTTTAAATGAGGGGGCTGAGGTAGGAAGGGGCTGAGTCGAAGAGGATAGTGTAGGAAAAGGAAACGAAGTTTCATAAAAAATGACATGACGAGAAATGTAGACTTTTCGAGAGACTAAATCAAAACAACGATAACCCTTATATGATTATGGATAACCAAGAAACACACAAGGAACTGAACGAGGACTAAGTTTATGAGATGCTAAATGAGAGAGATTTGGAAAACAAGAGCAACCAAAAACCCTAAGTACCCCATAATTAGGTGGATGGCCGAAGAGAAGTGAGAAAGGGACAGCTCCGAACTTAGATATAGTAGGCAGCCGGTTTAAGAGATAAACACAAGTGATTCATGCTTCGACCCAGAATTCATTTGGTAATTGGGCTTGATGAAGAAGAGTACGGACCATGTTAAGAATAGTTTTATTCATTCGTCCAGCCTTCCCATTTTGTTGAGGAGTGTATGGACAAGAGACTCGCATTGCGACCCCCTTTGATTTAAGAAAGGTTTGAAGAGATTGAGAACGAACATATTCAGCAGCACCATCGGATTGAAGTATTTTAATAGAAGAATGGAATTGAGTTTGAACAAGATTATAAAATTCAACAAACTTTTGAAGAACTTCAGATTTATTTTTGAGAGGATACACCCATAGGTAATAAGTGAAATCATCTAGAAACGGAACAAAATATTTAAAACCACTAAAGGAAAGACAAGGAGAAGTCTAGACATCAGTATGAATAATATCAAAAGGACTGTAAGTGACAGACGACGAAGAATGAAAAGGAAGCTTATGATGCTTTCCAATTTGACATGCTTGACACAGGTAAAGCTTATTGGACGAAACCACCGAACCAAGAAGACTCTAACGGGACACTAAACTGGACAAGACAGAAGAGTGCGGGTGACCAAGACTTTGATGCCACACTTGGGAAGACACTGGAGCAGCAAACGCCGGACATGACAAGGAAGATGGTGCTAGAGACTGATGTAGCAAGGTAGAAGGAATGGTATAAAGGGACCCAGTGCTATTGCAATGTAGACGAGGGATCCTCGTCTAGAGATCGTTCACAGAAAAACCAAAAGGATCAAATTCAACGAAACATTGATTTTCAGTAGCAAATTGACGAAATAGATAAGATTTTTCGTAATAGAAGGAACACAATAAACATGAGGAAATTTAAACGAAGAACAAGAAAGAGTGCCAACAGATTTAATGAAAAGGAAGCTTATCAAAAGGAAATCAGTATGAATAATATCAAAAGGACTGTAAGTGACAGACGACGAAGAATGAAAAGGAAGATTATGATGCTTTCCAATTCGACATGCTTGACACAGTTAAAGCTTATTGGACGAAACCACTGAACCAAGAAGACTCTGACGGGACACTAAACTGGACAAGACAAAAGAGTGCGGGTGACCAAGACTTTGATGCCACACTTGGGAAGACACTGGAGCAGCAAACGCCGGACATGACAAGGAAGATGGTGCAAGATACTGATGTAGCAAGGTAGAAGGAATGGTATAAAGGGACCCAGTGCTATTGCAATGTAGACGAGGGATCCTTGTCCAGAGATCGTTCACAGAAAAACCAAAAGGATCAAATTCAACGGAACATTGATTTTCAGTAGCAAATTGACGAACATAGATAAGATTTTTCGTAATAGAAGGAACACAATAAACGTGAGGAAATTTAAACGAAGAACAAGAAAGAGTGCCAACAGATTTAATGGGCAAAATATTACCATTACCAATCACAACCCTAGTAGATCCATTATAAGGCTTTGAATTGGAGAGAATACCTTGAGTGGAAGTCATAGTGTTACCACAAGCGGTATCCATATACCAGGATGAATCCACGGATGGAGGAGCAGGAGGTCGAGTATATTGATCGACAAAGTAAGCGGGTTGCCGAAATTGGAAGCATTCTCTAGCAGAGTGATTCGCTTGATTGCATAATTGACAGCGAATAGCAAGTTGTCCTGGCTGAAAAGAGGGAGCTGGACCAAGAAGTGAAGGAGCACGGTTTCTGGGAGAAAACATAGGAGGCTGAAAATTAGAGTAAGCAGGATAAAAAGAATTATACTGACCAGATTGATTTCGACCACATCCGCGACCGCCACGCCCCCGAAAATTCTGGAACCTGCCTCGACCACGACCACGATTGTTGGTGAAAGGTTGAGAGGTGGCTGAAGTAGGAAGGGATTCAGTTGAAGAAGCCGCAACTAATGCCGGAGTTGCCGTGGGAGGAGTAGCAGGGATGGTATTCTGTAGTTGCACTTTGTGCAAGAAAAGCATGGAGCGAGCTTCAACAAAATTAGGCAACGGGACTTTGTGACTAATCGTGGTCGAGACAGATTGATATTGAGAAGGAAGGCCAACAAGAATTTGAAGGACCAAGTCGGTTTCGGAGACTGGAGAACCAACCGCCGTTAAAGAATCGGCAAAAGATTTAAGTTTGGTGACATAATCATTAATGGATAAGTCACCCTTCTTGAAACTATGGAATTGGAGTTTCAATTGAAGGAGACGAGAGCCAAGTTGATCATGAAAAAGCTGTTGAATCGTTAACCATACTTCTCGAGCAGTAAGATTAGAATTTGGTTTAACTATAGCTTGCAAGATTTCGGTTGAGACAGTGGCTTGAATCCAGGAAAGAATAATGGAATCAATTTGAGTCCATGTTTGAAAGGCAGGATTTGGGACAGAAGCGGAAGAACCATCCGCAGCGGAAAGAGTCGAGGGCGGACAGAGAGAGGTACCATCAATGTGATCCATGACACCATGGCC